TTATTATACCTATTCTCCTTTTTCTATTATTTTATACTATTATTATTTTCTTTATTATTAAATTTATTATTTATAGTTTTCTTATTTAATATTATAAAACTAGTATCCTATTAGTAGTTTTATTATATTCTTTTATATTTATATTAGAACTTTATTTTTTAAGCTTTTTAATTTAAATTTAATTATATTAAATTATTTAATAAATTTAATATATAAAATTATTTCTTTTTTAGATTTTATAAGTTCTTTTATTTCTAATTTATATATGGGTTATTATAGTAAGTATAATATTTAGTAGTAATAGTAATATACTTTATTATAATAGTATTTATAAAATAAGTTTTCTAGTATTAGGGTTTTATATTTCTTTAGTAAGTTTTTTATTATTTTTTTAATATAATTTTTAATTTTAAAGATTTTAGTAATTTCTTCCTATTTTATTATTTTAAAAGTTTATAATTTTTTAAAATATTATCTAGCTTTATCTTTTTTACTTTAATAGATAGTATAGTTATTATTATAATATATAGTTTATAATAAGGATTTATAGTTAACTATATTAATCTTAAATTATTAAGTTTTCTTTTTAGATATAAGTTTCTAGTCTTTCTTTCCCTTATCTTAAAACTATATCTTATTCTTATTTTAATATTTTTATATTTAATATCTATATTTATTATATAAGTAATATTTACTAATCTTATTTTCTAATAACTTAAAAATAATTTCTTTATTATTAGTTTTAAGTTTTATAAATTCTAAGTAAGTTCCCTATAATATATTACTATTACTTTTTTTCTACTTATTATTAGTAGAGGTCTAGAGCTTATAGGCTTTTATTATAATAATATAGCTATATTTTTACTATTATTATTTATATAGCTTATTATTAATCTTAATAGCTTTTTCTATATACTTACTTAATTAAGTAGGTTTTTCTTTTTTATAGAGTTTATTTTTAATATCTTCTTTAAGTCTATTATAGAAATAAGTTATTAAGAGCTTATCTTTCTAATTAAAGTAAGTAGTAATCTATTTAAACTTAGTTATATATTTAGTAATAAATTTTTTCTCGCTTAACTTCTTAAGTTATTAGATTATAGCTTATTATTTATCTAGTTTCTTAAAAGCTTTTTTAAGAGCTTCTTTAAATATCTTATAGTTTTTAAAGACCTTAATAGTTTTTATTTATTATTTAATCTTATTATTTTCTAAATAATCTTAAAAGGTTAATTTAAACTAAGTAAATATATTGCTTATAAAATACTAAGCTACTATAGTAACTTTATTAGCTTTAATATAAAACTATTTATTATAATATTATAAAAAGGTTTTTATTTAGGTTAGGAACTCTTATAGTTTTTATTAGTTTCCTCTATATTTCTTAGATATAATAATCTTAAACTTAGATATAATAAGTATAATAGGTATAAAAGGAATAATATTTCCCTTTATTATTATATTAGTATTTAGTTACTAGATTATTTACTTTAATTAAATAATTTATTATTTAATTTGAATATTAATATTTTATTATTAAATAATAAAGCCTTTAATATCTTTTAGCTTATTTTATTATTAGCTTATAATATTATAAATCTCCTTAATATCCTTATTATATTTATTTTCTTTATTAAAGTTATTATTAATTTCTATAATAGGTCTAGTTACTTTATATATCTTAATTTTGTTATCTAACTTAGAAGGAATTTTTTCTTTTTTTATAAATATTATAATTTCTAGATATTAGTATTATTTAATAGGATTACTTACTAAATAGAAATAGTTAATATATTATAATCCTAATACTAGCTTATTAATAGTATTAGGTAGATATAACTAGTAATAAGATTAAGATATTATCTATTAGTAGTAGAGTAAGGTAGTTAAGTAGTATTTATAAGATATAGGTAAGAAGTATATATTTAAGTATAGGGGTATAGTTGTATTTGAATTGACTACTAGAAAGTCTTGAAAGATAAACTAGATATATAGTAGAGACTGTAGTTTATATAGATATTTCCTTTTAAGTTTTTCCTAGGATTACTCTAGTTTACTATAATCCTAGTTGATTTAGATTACTTATAGATTATTATAAGTATAGGTGATCTATCTTTCTGTAATCTTATTATTCTATAGTTTTTCCTTTTCTACTAGGTCTAACTGCCTGGTCTTACTATCTGGCTATGATATAAAGTCTAGATATTATAAACCTATTTTTAATATTTTTATTAATTAATTTACTATTTTAAATTTTATAATAATAAGAAAGTAAATTTCTTTTTCTTACTATTATAAAAATAGTAATTAAAACTAGAAAATTAACTTTTTTTTAATATATTATTTTTAAAAAGCTAAATATAATTAGATCTAATAATTAAAGAATATAAGATATATATAGGGGTAAGAAAAGAAGATAGATATTATATTAAAAATACTTATATATAAATTCTTCTATAATATAACTTTTATAGCTATCTAAGATAAGAAAATAGGCTTTTTAGTAATAAGCTAGCTTAATATAAAAGATAAAGATCTTTTTAAGTTATTTTAGAATAATATTATTAATTATCTATTTATTATTAATTACTATAAAATATTAATTTTTAAAAAAAGCTAAATTTAGTAGAAATTATTATTATTAAACTAATTTTTTTTTAAAAAATAACTAATAAAAAAAGAGTTTAACTAGTAATTAAGATATATTTTATAAATAATATCTATAGTTAAGAACTAAGCTATTTCTTTTAGATTAAATACTTTCTAGCTCTTTTAAAAATAAGTTTATTATTAACTTAGTTTTTTATTATTTTTACTTTATTTATATTTTATCTATTTTCTTATTTAATATTTTTAATATTAAGTAGTTAGAGGTATTAAAACTAGGGCCTTATTATCTTAGTTATAATATTATTAATATAGGTAAAATTAATAGATTTCCTTCTTATAATCTTAATAGATAGGTTTCTTTTTAAAAAACCCTCTATCTACTTTTTTTTAAGTAGTTATATATTTCCTTAAGCTTTAAAGATTCTTTTTGTAAAAGAGTAGACTTAAATATAAGTTAGAGGAAGTCCTAAAGCTCTTTAAATTAGAACTTATACTATTAAGTAGGTTTTCTAGGAAGTGCTAAGTCTTTATAAGCTAGAAAAGGCTTCTTTTTTTAGATTTATATTATTTATTTAGTTTATAAGAGTTAGTTTTAGAATACCCTATTTTTTAGTAGCCCTAGACTTTGATATCTTGTTTATGATGATATTAAGTATATCCTAGAGGTCTTCTTCTATATATTATTTTATTTTTAATTGAAAAAGCTGAATATAGAATATGAAGATGTTTGGATTGGAAATGGTAGAGGAATATAGGTTTGAAGTTGATTGGGATGAAATGGTAGTGTGGAATTTGGGGTGTTAGAAAGTGGGGGGTGTTAGCAAGGGGGGGGTCTGACTTACTGTAGGGTGAGAAGACCAGCTGGTAGGGATCTGGGACGGGATCGAGTGAAACGCGTATGAGTGAATACGACGGAAGGGAAAAGGAGATTGGACTGGAGTGTCACCCTCTGGTTTCACCGTTCATCTAATCGGGACCGGGGTGCATGCATACCTGTTACTTTGCCGGAAGATTATAATAGCTGCTAGACGCGCAAGCTATTTAAGGCAGCCCACGGGGCGCTACGTTACAGCATCATAACGATATCTGTTGCGTCTCAGCCAAGTCGACTAGCCGTAAGTAGCCGCCCCGACAGAAAGAAGCCGTCATCCATGCAATATTGTGTCTCAGGATCTGTTATCTCTCAGGGTAGCTATTTATATCATAGGGCTCGTAAGCCTTACTAAGATACTACCAATCTCTGTTTTGAGGCGCCCGGTGTGTTTTTGGGCGACGGTTCGTCTCTGCATCTTATAATCAAGTTGGTAGGCGCTGGACGAACGCAGACTCTACTTAGGCACCGAACGAAGATAGCTTCCTTAGCTTAACTCCTCAACAAGTAGAATCTGCGGAATCGTGTCTTGAGAACCTCCCGTCTATGTTGATACAACACGTATTACACTCGCTCTCCTGATGATTCTATTTTCCAACGATCTCCTCTCTCCGTCGTTGGCCTTGGGGTGAGACGTTTTTCTCATTTTCTCAAGGGCATCGTATTCGTAGTCTTTGCTTCGGTTGGTGCTACCTAGATAGCAACTTTCCGAACCTAAGCTCCTCCAAGTCGACACCTCGACAGCGGCAGGCCTTTCTTTCAGTAAGTCGGCAGCGGCGGGGTCCATGGGGTGGATGTAGTCAGTCGTAACCCCCTTCTGGGCGGTTGTCAAGAAGAATTCCTAGTTGGTTGGGTCATCTAGTCGATCCCCCCCCCCCAAAACTTTGGGAATCTAAAAAACCCCCTTTTATTTTTGGAGTCTTAAATGCTTAGCTACCTGACACATGCGGTCCGCATTCACGACTAAAATCAAGCTTATCGCAGATACCAGAGCCAAGAGCCAAGATTAATTGCAAGGTCACCATCGAACGCCTTACTTCGGGAGTAATATCGAACTCAACCCGTTCTTAATTCGTAGCTTCGTTCTGAAAATGGTTGAGGGGCCTCGGGGTTTTACTGTCCAGGGATCAGCCGTTCCGCCCATCATGGAAGGCAATTCTGTTACATATCTTCTATCCTAGGCCTTATCAAGAGGCTGCCGTGTGGCCTTCCATAGATGCGACTTGCGAGCTGTTCTCCCCCCAGGCCCCCGGGCTGAAGAGTAGAAATTGGCCATATATATAGATCGTCAATACTTTCTTTCTACCTGAGATGAATAGGCTGTGACGTCCAAGCTCACCAGCTATAATCCGGATACTCGCCGGAGGAGAAGCTAACCTTTCAAAATCAACTAGTGCACATATCTTGCGTTACATTGAGTTATCTCCACAGATAAGAATCAATATTTCCGTCGAGAATGCTCCAAATTCTGCCTAGAGCCCAGTCCCCAAAGGCTATACATGAAGCAATACAATTAACCCTAGGAGCGAAAGTTTAGAGCCAGCATAGTCATTGCAGCGAAGATGACAGGCAGAACGCTGACAGTCTCGCCCAGGCCGGCGTACGCTGGAGGGATCCTGATGTTGACAAAGGCCCCCGCTGCCAGAAGGATAGCCAGGACATTGTACACGGCGGACCAGACGAAGTTGAATACAATCCTGTGATAGCTAGCTTTGCTGACGTCAAGGAGGAAAGGGATGCCGTTGAGTCCAGAGAGGAGGACGACATCGGCGGCACCGCGAGTGACGTCACTAGCGGACACGGCCTCACCCTGGCCACCGCTGAGCTGAACGCCAACGTTGGCTTGTGCGACAGCGACGGCGTCGTTTGTGCCGTCGCCGCAGAAAAGAACGTTCTTACCACGAGCCATGAGGGAGGCTACGTAGTCGCGCTTCTGGGCGGGGGTGCGCTGCGCTGCGACGTTCTCCGGGGGGGCTCCGACTAGAGAGGCTATCGCATTAACGGCCTGTGTTTGGTCACCCGAAACGATATGTACGGCGATACGACGGGCCGTGAGAGGTGACACTACGGTGGCAGCTTCGGGGCGGAGAGAGGTGCGAAGGCTAAAAAGTGCCACTGGATTTGAGTTGCTGGTTACCAGGAGGAGAGTCATGCCTGCCGATAGCTGAGCAGACACGGTAGGGTTAGATTCACTATTGGTCCACTGCGGGTTTCCTGCTCGGAAAACCGCGCCACCAGAGTCCGTTGCTTCAACACCGGCACCAGGAACGGAGTGGACGTTGCTCAAGGGGGCGGGCTTAACTTAACAGCGTTCTTTTCAAGATGCTTTGCGACGGCGAGTGAGACGGGGTGGTTGTTCCCGGTGACAAGGGCCTTGGCGATGGCGGCGGCTTCGCGGGAATTTGACGCGAAGGACTCTTCTGCGACGACCTCGAGCTTACTATCTGTCAAAGTTCCCGTTTTGTCAAATACGATATCCGTGACCTTGCGAGCTGTGGCAGTACACTCGGCAGACTTAATCACGACACCACCGCGGGCGGCGATGCCACCTGCCACGACAAGGACCATCGGAACGGCAAGACCGAGGGCGCATGGACAAGATACGGCAAGCACGGCGATAGCGTACGTGACAGCGTCCGGCACGGCCTTGAACGCTGGCTGCTTCGTACCCTTGAGGCCAATAACGATCCATATTACTGTGACTATGACGGCGATGACCGCCACGGCAGGGACAAACCATCCGGCTACCCTATCGGCTAAGTCTCGAATCTTAGGCTTAGAGTCGGCCGCTTCTTCCACGAGCTGAGCGATGTCGGTTACAGTGTTCTTGCCGGGGAGACGAGTGACCTGTGCCTGGAGGGGGGGAGAACCGTTGATTGTGCCAGCAATGATTACATCTCCGGGCTTCTTGGACACGGGAACACTTTCGCCTGTGAGCATGGATTCATCCACTTCGCTTGCGCCTTTGGTGATGCGGCCGTCGGTCGGAATACGGGAGTGAGGCTGCACCGTGAACCGATCTCCAAACTGGAGAAGGCGGGTGTCAATCTCCCTTTCTACGCCATCCTCGATAATGGTCGCAGTAGTAGCTTGCAAAGATCGCAGAGAGACGGCGGCAACGGCCCGAATGCGAGCCACGGCAGATATCAAGCGACCGAGCAGGACGAGCGTGATGAGCAACGTGCTTGTCTCGAAGAATTCAGCCGTTTCAAGGGGTTTATCAGCCATGCGAAACCCAAATGCGACGAGGGAATAGGCGTAAGCGGCGGTGATGCTGATGGTGACGAGCATATCCATCTCTAGGGTCCGCTCGCGAACTAGAATCATTATTGCCGGGCGATAGAAGACAGGGACGGCAATGAGCTGCACGAGGGTGGCGAAGACGAGAGAGATAATGGCCTTAGTCTTTATAGAGACGCCGGTATTTCCCCAAGCAAGAAAAAGAACCGGAATAGTTAGCACGGCTGCGGCGACCGTCTTTGCAAGAGCATCGTAGAGACGTTTCTTTCCCATGGATAGGGTTGGATCAGCAGCCGGGGGGGGGGGGGGGGGGGGGGGGGGGGGGGGGGGGCAAGGCCGTCAGTGAGCGAACGGATCTTCTTCACAATGGCGCGAGCTCCAATGACGTTTGGGTCGTAGGCGATTTGGACCATCTTCTTGTTGGTGATAGTAATTTGTGTAACTCCAGCTATGTCCATATTGGCAAGAGCCTTGGCCGACGCACCAGAGGAAAGAACATCGATGGTCTGGCCGCCGGCAGCCTTTTTAACGCAGCCGAATCCCGTGCTCTTCTCGACATCTCGGATGATTTGGTTGACGTTGCCGATTCGAGGGTCGACAGCAAAATAGGCATTTCCCATGACAAAGTTGACGCGAACGTGTGACACACCTTGAGACACACCTTGAGAACCTTTCAGGGCGCGCTCGACCTTGTTAGCGCAGCCAGAGCACGTCATTCCGTCTAAAACAAGAGAGACAAGCTCTAGGCCTTCAGCCTTCTCAATGTCATGTCCTTGTTAGCAAATGTGGAAGGGGGTGCTGCGGTAGCACAGTCACTTCCAGAGCAGTGAGGATGGTCATCATGGCTACCGTGGTCGCTGTGGTCTCCGTGGTCATCATGGCCATGGGCGGCCGAGATGCAGTCCTGGTTATGAGCTTCAATACCGTGGAGATGGGCGCCACGGTACTTCACGCCGCTTGACTTGGGATGGTGGTGGTGCCGTCGGGTACGCAGCCCATGGGCACTAGACAGGCCATGTCCCTCTTTGTCAGCAGAGGTACTGGGACCAGAGTTCGGAACAGTTTCCTTCTTATGGCTGGCACAGCAGGTGGAACTGAAGCCACGGTCTAGGATGCTTCGGCAGATGCAGCGAGCATTCTCGAGGTAGGCAGCATATTTCTCAAAGGCCTTGTTCATATGATCGGAACAGGCAGATGTAGGATGCTTGCCATCATTGCCATGGGCATGCTTATGACCGACCGCCTCTATCGAAATTTTTTGATATTAGCGTCGCGGTCTGCTATGTTGTAGGGAGGGCACGAACGACACAAACGACACGAACCATTGTGAGCGGAGTCATCATCGCAGTCCTTCTCACATTCGAAGGCAGCAACGGCAAGAACGCAGTTTTCTATGTAAATATCAATCGTTAGCAAAAGATGCCAGAAAGGGTGTCGTATCAGGCAGGTAAGACGTACCATCACAGGCCTCATCCTTCGAGGTGCATCATTGGAGATCGAAGGAGAGAGAAGCGTCACAATCGTCATGGCAACTATCATCATCGCAACAAGTGCCATCCTCAGAGCACAAACCACCGCCGACTGGAGATTCTCCAAGGACGGCGTTGCTGTCTCTCATGCCCTCCAGAGCTCGAGAGCCATCCTTGTCTTTGGAACAGCAACCGGAGCCCATCTTTTTTGAATGTTTTGGAATATAATATAAAAGGTCTGTCTCAACAATTCAGGAAGAGTAGGTATGGGTAAAGAAAAGGGGGGAAATGATGTGGAGGTCCAAGGGGAATAGAGATGGAAATGAGGAGTTCGTCACCCCAGCTTTATTATTGCCCACGAACCTACTCCTCCGGGAGGAAGTCCGGACTTCAGGGCCGGAACGTATCCTCATTCCGGCTTGGCTGTTGCCGCGTACCGGTCAAAGTTAGGCTTACGTAAACTTGAGCTTTTTGGCTGGAGACGGGATTCGGAATTCGCTTGCGACGGAATGTGCTGAAATCCCGCCAGGAAAATTCTGGCCTGTTTCGGGACAAGGAGCGTCCGAAACATTCTCGTTTCACCTCGTATTTGGACATCAAACAATTGATGCTAACCCGATGCTGATGCAAGCGCGCTAGGAGTGTCTGTCGGATCGTTCGTGACCGAACGAATTCGGCCGAAATTTGCTGCTCTGGTGCGCTAGGTTGAACGAGGATGACTTCCGGCTTCTACGCTGAGGTGCTACGCCAGAAACCTACAGAGAGCCGAGCCAGCCACTTGCGCTGTATGGAGGCATGCACTGGAACCGCCCGGCCTCGTTTTGCACGCAGCCATCCTCCATTGGGGGGCGGATCCTTCTCAGGGGGCGGACCTCTGGTCTGAAGCACCTAGGCCCTTTCTAAACTTGTCTCAAGGCTACCTTAGGTAAAGGTTAATGAATAAAAGAAGAAGATGCAATAATGATGAACCAATACGCCCTTTAGAGAGTTATGATAGATGTCGGGCGATTCTCCCTGTCCTTGAAAATGGACAATACTACCTCGACTTTAAACGTTTGAGTCGCAGACCCAGAGGTGATGTCTCGTAGAGCCAGCTGCGGATCCAAGACCACCAGCTGCGGCCCAGGAGCGTCATGGGTGGAGGAAGACCTTCGGGTGGGTAGGGATGACATCTTGACCTCATAGCGAACCATTTTCCATGCCTTAAATAGGGCGAGCATACTAAAGGAGGGAGGGCTGGCGGCGGACGCAATACGGTCGAGATCGCGAAAGTGGTTTCGCAGCTGCTGGGGAGAACCGGCTTCCATATCGTGATAGGCAAAGAGGAGCGTCGCGGTGATGCGGTGATGGCCCGGCCTGCTCGGTGGTTCGCGTGCCTGTCCGGGAGACGAGTTCATTTAGTACCTCATGGCTAGATCATAATAACCTTTGCAGATTTTACTAATAGAACTTGCATCGACATGGGAAAGCTGGGTACTCGTCCCCTCATTCCCTCCGCGGATCTTCATTGAAGTGGCCACCATGCCTAATCTGGAAGCCGGGAGCGCCACCATATAAATTCATGGATCCTAAATGCGCATGGGCAGAAGAACACTTGTATTGTGTATTGTAAGAGGAAGAGGAGGTGAACTGTAGGGATCCACCAGAACCTCAAGACCGGTTCATTGTTATCAGTTACTGGATACGATTTATATGTGTTATTTTCTGCCGTATTAGCCATTGTAAGGAACGCCATCATTCGGTCGTGCATCATAGCTGAAGTCGACCAACATCCCACAATTAAATACAAGATCGCCACCGACATCTTATTTAAGGATAATATCGAACTCGGCCCGTTCTTAAGTCTGGCTTCAATCTGAAAAACAATCCGGGAAGCTTCGGGCTAATATTCTCCCAGGATCGGCTGTTTCATTTATCGGCGATAAAGAAAGCGGGGCAAGATAAGACCCGATTAGTCCGGTCCGGACCCCACTCCTGGCCCCACCCGGCACCTCTGGTACAAATGCACTCGGAGCATCCGCACATTGGAAGGAACGCCTTTTTCACAAATGCAAAAACAAGCAACTAAATCGGCGAGAAAAATGCGATCTCCGAAACTTTTTTTTTATCCCTGTAGTACGGTTCTGACTGCCTCTGACTGGCATCCCGAAACGCTTCTTGGGATATTGAAAACCTCGCAGCTGCGTATTTACGATGTCACTAAGAGCAACTAATGATCACCAAGCTAGATGCAGCGTTTTTCGAAGAGCTGGATCTGAGGGTCCCGTATTGTAACCCGCTCATGTGAACAGCGTGCGCCGCGAAAGCTGAAATCCCGTCGAATACTGCAGGTTGAGTATTCTCGAGATTGTGTGCGATAGTTGAAGTCAGCGTCGGAGAAGGGGCTGTGTATCGATCATGGCTGGGTTCTCCCGTAACCGTGGCCGGGTCTGCCAGGACCAAGCAGCTCCAAGAGTAACGCCTTCGGCAACGCGATCTATGTTCTTCACATCACGTGCGTCTCATGAGTAAATGCATAGCCGTCGAAAAGACAGGCTGAGAAGTATAAATGAACGAGTTACTCGACGCTCGGGGCTTCCCAACACCCTGCGAGCACGATCCGCCGCTCCATCACACGAATTATCATATAGTTTCAGCAGAGAATTCCCTCGGGCCTAGCCCTACACGGCCATCAATTAGGCTCGCCCCGAAACAGATAGTTGCGCCTCGCCGTGGTTTACCATCCACAGGGCGGATATTTTCCGTCTTAATAAGACCGTGACCGCTGATATCAATACACAAGCTCTAAATCTTAAAAGGTAAACGGGTAATAAAGCCGGAGGCCAGGTACCTCTATGTAACCACTTCCCCTATGGCTGGCCCAAAACCGCCTCCGATCCCTACCTTCCTAAAGCCGGTAATCACGCTTCCTTCATAGTCAATACCCGGCCTTGATTTGCCGATAGGATGCCACCTGGTCTTCTGAAGGGATGGTGGCTAAATCGTTGAGGGGTGTTTGGGCGGCCACACGTTCCAGACGGTACTGGAAATATTTTCCTTCTTTTTCGTTAACATACCCCCTTACACCAACGATCTTGTATAGGCCGTCGTATCTCAGGCCTACGGAGGGCGCCCATGGGCCTCCCGCCTTGTATGAACGCAAAACTCGAATCGGATTTCCATACTCGTAGGAGGCAGAGAGGGAAAGGTTCTCCCTCGCCCTGTCATGAGCGTTCTGCGTCAAGGGCGTGACCTTGTGTGCGCCCATCTCGACGTACCGAATCACGTCTCCGTCGTCGGCATCGTACCCATCCTCACCAGAATAAGCGTTCGATAAAACCAGAGATATTACTCCCTGGTGCGTCCCAAAGATTCCCTTGACAGGGTGTCCATGGGCCCCATTTAGTAGGGCGTTAACGTAGAAAGGGTACCAGGCCCCAACCTATAAACACAAGCCCCGAGGTCAGTCTACCTTTGATGGTTGAAGGCTTTGCCGAGCGACATAAAAACAAATGTAACCGCAATAGGCATGACGGGAGACTATCACTTAGGACTGACCTGGATTCCGTTGTGCCCGTAAACGTTCGCGGGCCGTCTGAGAGCCCTGGCCCGTTCATTGAAGACATAAGATTTCCCTTTTAGGGAAATGCCATCCATCAATTGCGCCTCACCCCATATGGGATGATCAGCGGGTGGTAAGGCACTCTCTCCATGAGGCATTCTCTGGTTCGATTCCGTCTCGGTGTTGCCGGTCGCTTGGTTATCGGCGGTGTCGGCCATGGTCACCCTAGATCGCACTTCCGTTGTGCTGTTTGACTTTTGATATTAGTATTGGTTTACGGCTCAAAAGACTGTCATAAGAAGTATTTACCAAGGAGTTCTGTACTATGCCGATAGGCTTCTGATGAATGATGATGAATGGTGACGAAGAGTTCTCTTTTTTGTTGATGAAGAGTTACTCTTTTTGATGGGTTTGTTGATGTGGTTGAGTGGAAGTAGATTGTGGGTGGCGCGCGGAAGAGGATATGTCCTTTATAGGTGTTTTCAATGGAATGATTCCGGGTCACTGGAGGTAGATGAGAGAGCGCGTCGCGTCTTGCTCTTAGATGGAGTGAATCAAGATAACGTCCTACGTTGAGGGCCCCAAACTTGTCGCCAATCCTACGTCTCATCCTTTGTTTCTGGCGCGCTTACACACGGACCTTACACTTCTTCCTCCAGTGGGCATCAACAGCTCCTTCCTGCAGTAAGGCTAGCTTAATTTAACGGGGCCCGGGGCTTCTTTGAACCTTTCGTGGCATAAGGGAACATGGTATCGAAGTTGTGTGAGGCTCGGAGACCAACACAAAGTGCATGCTTATCAACTCTAGTCGCACCTCCGATGATATCGTTTCTCCTCAACATACCCTGGCTCCATCCACAGTATTGAGTTTCCCACGGGACGACTACTCCGTGGCGCTTAGTTCGGGGCTAGGGGCTCGCCCTAAGAAGCAGGGATCCTCCACCTCCCGTAAGATATCAAAGCCCGCTCAAAACGAACCTAGAAACGGCGCCTCGGAACACCAATCGAGTGTCATATCTAATAACAATGTTTATATTATCATGCTATAGGCAAACGGGCGGAGTTGATTGAGGCTTCAGTAAGGAGCCAGTACACAACATATAAAGTCAATGAAACACGAACATGCAACTTTCCTATGCAGCAGGTTCCTCTCTAGGTTAAAAGAAGAGCCATTCAAAAATTCGAAGAGCTCTGCTTTTTGACAGAGAAATCCCCATCGTTTCAAAACCCTGAAGCCGCGCGTACAGCGATCAGGACAAGGTGTCGTGACGAAGTTCACGAGCAAGGAACCAGCCGACGGGGTTAACTTTCGGAAGGTCTGTGGGTTGGATCAATTTTGTCTACCTCCAGCACGACTTGCTCGAGGACTTCATCAAGCCGTGAATCATTCTCTATATGTCCTAACGTTCTGCCAGTTCTCCATTGGACTTGAATTCAATGACACCCTGCTTCCCTTAAATAGGCCACCTCCTCCTCTGTCGAAGGGCGCTGCAGTGCTTCATTACGACGGGGGAAATGACCAAAGTGATCGAGCTCTGCCATGTGTTGCCTGTCAAGCCGTTGAAGTGTGGAAACCCAGTCCTCAAACTGTGCTCTCCTCCTCATGAGAGAGTCCCGACATTGGCGGGCGTCGCTCTCCAACTGGTCTGCCGGAGAGTCCATCAGCTTCAGGCTATCGGCAAACATCTTTTGATGCTCCCTTGCTACTAGCTCCTGCATGTCCTTCCTCTCGGAGTGCTCGAGTGGCATATAGAACAAAAATCGGTACCCTTGGCGATATCGCACTTGGGGATGTTCGGGAATGCCTGCTTCAATAGCTTGCAAAGCAAGATCGAGTGCCTTGGGATCGAAAAAGTTGTAGACAATGGCTGCATCAGGGCCCCGGAAACAATTTCGTGGAATCTGATCCAACAACACAATCACACTGACCCAGTCTAGCGGCGAAGAGGGTTTCAAGATCTCTAGGATGTCAATTGCACTGGGATTTTCTTGCATGATGACAGAAAGGGTGCCCCCAAACTCGGCGCTAGGTGGAAGATGAACATGAGCAGCCCACTCCGTTCAGCTCAACGCTAGACGAAATTAACTTACTCGCACTCTTTATCGAACTGATCATTCTGGGTGAACCATGGCTGAACGTCTTCGGGACTTGGAACGACGAGTTGATCATGGCCCACCATATGTCGGAACCAAAGAGATCGGACTGATTCCAGAAGTCCGTGAGGTCCCTCGTCTTTCGAGCGGGTCACGTCCTTCGCCATGTATGTCGAAATGGCTCTTGGTCTGGTGAAAGGTTCTCAGGGGCTACAAATGCAATTTTCCACGTTTGGAGGCAAAATAAAAGATTCGAATAGAGCAAGCGAAGAGAGTTTTCCCAGCCGACAGCAAGTATTTAATCGAATGACGGGGTTGATGGGCCAGTCGGGAGGAAGCCGACTTAAGAAGGATCTGTCAAGAAGACCACCAACCACCAAGAATAACTAGTCACCTGATTATGCTAGGTACTATGTTCGAAACCGGCCGAGCCTTAAGGTCAGGAGAGTCCCCATTTTTTTGGCAAAAGGGGGGTGAGGAGTGAGTGTAGACTTGGGAGAGGGCCTGCTCATTGATGCTCGTTTCGCTTTCCTGAAATTACGACGAAGTTAGACTAGATTTATAAGCGGCCCTTTGGTGCTTACACACGTTCTATCCTATTCTGTAAGTAAATGGCCAAGGCTCTTTTGAAATCTACTTGGACTGCTCGGCTGCGTTATGCTGCATGCGATGATGTAGTAATGTAGTACTGGTCATGCAAAAAGATGGGGGCACCACGCTTCATGAATCCGTGCAGCTGCACGTTCCTACTCCTACGTTCAACCCGGACTTTCCCCCCAGAACACAAAGCTAATGTACACGTCAGGAATGGGTTGATCCCAACTCCATGCCTTGGCGTTAGAAATGCTCTTTCCAGAACTTGAACTCTACTTCACGCCCTGAGATATCCCTGCAAGCAGCCTTGATGCCCTTCCCGGCCGCACTAGGGCCGCAGAAGTAGACCCCGACGCTTTTCTTGAAGGACGCCTCAAGCCCAGGCAGATAAGAACCATCCATAATACCGTCTCGTATCTCGCCGAAGAATCTTTTAAAGTCTGGTCTTCCGAAATTCGTCCTTGTCTTCAGTTCAGTGACCGCATCTTTGCCTGCTCCGACCGTGTTGAGCATGATATTAGCAGCCATATCTCCGTCGATCCGCTGGGTAAGATAAATATGGATCCCGAGAAAAGAATTGTCCTCGTCCTGAGCTTCGAGGGATGACAGGAGTGTCTGGAACCACTCGAAAGACGTAGTGTCTCGGCAGACCCAGATGAATTCCACCCGACGTAAACGGCCCTGCTTGTCGGGGTTCCTACGTGTGTGCCATATATTTTTCAGGACAGACGCCCATGGAGTAACACCGATTCCGGCGCCAATAAGTATTGAGATTTCGTTTCTGAACACATCTTCGGCTGGTGCGCCATACGGTCCGTCGATGCGGAGGCTGGGCATTGTCTCGCCGTGCCTGAGTGCAATCTCATACACGCCATTCGGATCGAGCTGATCGTACAGTTTGTCTTGCGAGGGTCCGGCTCCGACGGCATCGGCAAAGTTTCGTGTGAAGTCACCCACCTGCCGCATATGCACGCTGATGTACGGGTCGGATGGGCACGAGGTGATGGTGAACGGGTGCCACTGGAAGTAGCTAACATCGGGGCAGTTGAGGAAGAGCCATTGTCCGGCCTTGTAGTTCATGCTGGGCTTGCGGAATTGTATTTCTACAACATCTGCGGAGATGAAAGACAATTAGCATGTTGGCGAGATAATCAAGGGAATCTTACTAGTCTTACTGTACGGATGTCGCATGACGCGGACAATTTTTGTTTCGCGACGAGCACGTACTTCGCGGTATAGTCGCTCCAACAGATAGATTCCGCCGGATACGAGTTCCCATCTCCACCCGTTGTATCCCAGACAGTGGTCCCAAAATTCCTTGCCAGCAAAAGGAGAAACGGGTTCTGCTGAGTCACGAACAAAACAACCGGTAGCGTGCGTATACATCGCTAAAAAGAACGGAATGAATAGATGATGCGTATACCAGAAGGTTTCGAAGGCTTGTTGTCGAATCTTATGGTGGGCCGTGGTGTACATTAAAAGCATGCAGAGAAGCATCACATGGCCTGTAACCGGTCCTGGTTGCGTGTAATGAATCTGCGTTACGTTCTCCGGGCGCAACTGGGTTCTCTCGATGTTGTAAAAGCTTCAGCTCACAGTCAGTATTTTATCTCTTCTTATTTCTTCCTTTCTTTTTTTTTCTTTTTTTCTTTTTTTTTTCGCGTCAAGTTTAGGGTAAAGGAGGCGGCGTACTTGACATAATGCCCAGCTGTATGTACAACTGTAAACACGAGCATGGCATATGCGACCTGCCTATGAAACCAGATTGACTCGTCTAGATGCAAAAATCTGAACTTGGGTCTCGCCCAGCGGAGAAGCGTTCTGCACATGGGAAGTAAAATTACGAACGTATCGACGGTCAGGACTAGACCAGCCCCTCGAGAAATCCATATCGAGAATTCAAGAAGATTAACACCCCGCAAGCGTTCGTCGGAATTTTGCGAATACCTATCACAGGAGTCAAGAGTAGTTCAAGAGAAAAAGGAACCAAAGATAATATTTTTACCATCCATAAGCAAAAATTCCCCAATGAAATCCCCAAAACAAGAAATGGAAAATGAAAGCTCTTGTTGTAAGGCCACGGGCCCATTGGAAAGAGTTCTTCTTCATCTGGATATCACGAACCGGAAGGTTTCGAATCTGCTCGATGTCGGAACTCGGTAGCAGTAGCTAGATGACCGATGATGACCGATGATTTGGAGAGAAACCTAACAAAGGGATAATGAACGTCGCGAATTGACTGTGAACCTGCACCGCCATGTAAACAAAAAAGAAAAGAAAAGAAAAAAAGAAGGTGTGAGCGTAAGGTGAAGTTATCTAGAGAGGCATCCCATTCTCTGAAAGTCTAGATGGGAAAGAGATTAAGACGGCAACCAGCACAGAGTTTAAAGTTCAAGGGGGGAAAACTGATGTCCGGATGGAACTGAAGCAGTGGCGACTTCCATTAGCTCCGGTGGATGGTAACGGAAACTCTAGGCGACCACATGGCCTCGCTCGGCGACCAAGATCCCCGGTTGAGCAAAGCACTCTTATCCATTCTACGGACTTTGAAATATTAGTATACACGGGCCATCAACCATAATTTCTCTTCCCCCAGCCCAGCTGTATTACAAGGTTTAGAGACTTCTTCACTCGGTGGGGCTCTGGGCTACCGAGATGTTAGTGACACTCCCACGTGTTTCAGACTTGAAGTTCTACACTACTTGTAGGTTGATGTGACAAGCCCTGCTTCAAACCCGCATCTTGCCAGTGTGGGTACTCATCTCTAGTATTCGCGACAAATACGAGGCAGGCGCGAAAGTAGCATCCATGGCTCCCTTGGCCACAGAAATCAATTTCATTGAATCAGATGTGCCTCTATAGCTTAGTACACTTCTTATTAACATCTTCAGGCGGTAGGAGACAGACAAGTATAACTTAGTTTTAGATATTATTTATCTTCCACAGGAACCCCATATAACAGATACTCCTTATATCCCTTATTATATTATCTTCGACTACCTTCAAATAAGTCTCCTATTACGACCCTGACACTGGCTTTGCAGGATATCAGGTGGGTGCGGCTGGCGTTAAGGTCGTGGGTGCTTGTTATGAAGTAAATGAGGCAGTCAAGCAGCGATTCACGAGATATCGTATGAAAAGTGTGTATTCAAGTGTAGGGGTGCAGTGGTACTTGAATTGACTACTGAAGAGTCTGGAAGGGCAAACTAGATACATGGTGGATTCCGTGACTTATATAGACGTTTCCCCTTCCATCTCTTCTTCGGTCGATCTGTCCTTAGATCGATCGGTCGCGTCTTGGCAAAGGCGACTAGGTGACCTTTTCGTTCTACCGTGCCGCGCCGCTTCCTCGTGACCTGGTCGCGGTCATGTCGTGACGCCGTGACATCCAGGGCACTGCCTTTTCAAATGGAGGCACTGGGAACATCCCAGACGTTTGCCGTCGCACTAGAGCATATTGTCAGCTCGCTTAGGTCGCCCAAAGGCCTACAAGTAGACGACTTAGCCCGAGCCTCCAGGATCTGCAGGCAGTGCATACTGTCAATTGTCGAATCTTCATGTTTGTTTGCTTGATGTGATCGGATGGACAACGTCGCTGCGGATTGTCGGGGACCTTGATTTTCAATCGGCGAATAATACTTCCAAACCTAGCCTAGACTCCGATGTCTCCGGACGTGCTACACCCGATTAGGAAATATAATTCGCCAAGACTTTGCGGGCTTGGTCCCAGGCCGGCTGAGGTGGGGCTATCCTGATTATAAATCCCTACTTTGGATCGGGGGCTGTTTGGATCTGTAACCTTCAACTAGGTTGGTAGAGCCTTCCCTGTTGAGAGTTGCCTGGGGGTCTACGGAGTACGTGGACAACGTGGTATTTACCACTCTGTCAAGACCCTAGTCCACCGGCGATTTCTATTTTTTAGGATAGTTATACAATTTTAACTTGGTATGCTATACTTCGTATGGATTGTCCATCATCACGTTTAAAAGCAAAAGCGGGCCGGTTGGGGTGGTTGGCCGGTTGATTAGGGTCTTGACTTACATGCGACGGGCGTGTCCATGTAAGTTCACTACCGGCATGGAAGGGCACCCCTTGCTGATTTGATGCTGATGCTTGTTTCCCCTCACTTCTCCTTTGTATGTTCTTCTTTCGCCCTCATCTGACTTCGCGCAAAGAGCTAATGATCGATCCTACAAGTAATGGTGGCCGTGACTTATCGGGCAATAATATCCCAGAATGTCTGTCTGCATTCCTCTTGCCAGGCCATTGCGTCATAGAAGTTACACATTTGGTGATCCATCCACGAAGGGGTTGTTTCATGACAAAAAGGCTTCATAAACACAACACTGGCATACATTAATCAGCATCGTCATCACCAGGAACCAGGAGCATAACCAAAAGACTAAAGCACGTTTTTATGCTACTGTTGGGAGACTGATACAGATGCAAAATACCTACTACGCCGCCACCCTGTACTAGGATATCTTGTGTTCTGCCGCTTTAAACCCCATTTCCTTGCCGATACTCAACATCTGCATCTGTAAATCTGTGCCTCCACCAGCACAAGGTAGATCATTTATCTCAACAGGCAAATTACTATTGCCCCAGCATCAGCCCAAACCTGTCGAGCGGTAGTTCGAAAGTTGCTCGATGATGAAGTAAAGCCCACTGTCATCGGTATCTACTGAAATTTGAAGAAGGTACCTGCTGAATTCACTTCTCACCTCTCACCCAAACTTTAAAGCTGTGTGCGGAGATCTTAGCAATATACAGTGAGAGGTTCGATGCGTTCAAGGCCATGCTCCAGAAATCCGAGGCAGCCTCGATTTCAAAATTGATCTGTGTAATTAGTTTTTGGAGTGCGCAATTGAGAATCAAATTAAAATTTATATTTGAAACTATTTTATAGAAGAAGATACATTGTAGCATTTCCGAGTAAATGACCGACGCATCACTATTCCAATCTTCTTAGAATTGGGTAGAATGGTAGAGGAGTAGACGGCTAGTACCCAGTTCCCTCTCCAGGCAGGGCATCCACTTCATTAAGCGTGATGTAGGGAGCCGCTGGCTTGTGATCCCCCCCAAGGATAATAGGTGGGTCTTTCAGGAACTGTGTTTGCAAGCGCCTGGCACTATTGAGAAATCGATCCGTCGCATCTTCCAGGCTCCGCGAAGCAACGCGAGGAATGACACGCTTGAAATCTCTCTTGCGGAACTGGCCATCTACGAGGACGTGCTCGACGTTTCCGGGATGGGAGTGGAGAATGATGGCCGCAACAGGGTTGTTCCAGCCCATCAAATTGAAGGCGTTCCCATCAAAGACGACAATGTCCGCCTTCGCCCCTGCCGAGATGATTCCCAAGTCCGACCTCCTAAGAGCTTGGGCACCGGCCCGAGTCGCGAGCAGGAATGCCTGGCTTACCGACATGGGGCTGTTCTTCGGGATTGTCCAGTTGTCAAGCGCCTCTTGATACAACCTCAACCGTACGGACTGAAGCCATAGTCGGGCCTGAGAGACGAGATCTCCGCTCCATGCCCATGAAGCGTCAATGGCCAGGGCAGCCTGATCCATGACCTTGTGCGAGTGCGGATAACCATGCCCGAAGTGCATCTCTGACTCGGGGGCGATGGCAATGTGGTGATTGTATTGCCTGAGCAATGCAACATCATCGGGCGTGATTCCGGTCGCGTGAGAAAATATGACGGGCGTTGAGCCGTTCAACAATCCGAGTTCATTGAGAAGCGTGGGGCTATTCGGGGCTTCTTTCTGTTAGTGGCCATTGGTTTTACAGAGGAGACGGGAGAGAGGTAATGAAGAAGATCCCTTACCGATCCAAGGGCCTCCAAGAAAGTGGGTTGTTAAGACTGAAATGTTGAACTGTCTAATATACCCTTTAAGTTATTCTCAACTTGATCTAAGCAGACGAGGGGGCACTCACCTAATAAGACCTATCACTCCGTCCACATCGCTCTTCGGTGCATTATAGAATTCGTCGTAAGAGATTCCCAGCTCCACCGGCGTGGCGTTCCAGTCGACACTCTCAGCCAGCCTGCGGAAAACATCAAACTGCCTTGGGATTGTGAAATTGTTCGGGATTTGATGAACCCCAAAGCACCACCAAATTCTTGCACCAGTATCAATTGATGCTTGAAGGCTTGCCTCGGATGTTGCCTCTGAGAAAGTACCATACGAATGGTCTACAATGCTGGTGACTCCGGCATCCAACGATTCCCAAATACCTATCAACTAGCTGTAGTATATGTCGTCGGGCCTAAATCGAGATATGACGCTAGGGTTAAATGGGGACAGCGTCGCAAAGTAGGCGGCCATGGTGATGTTGGAGCCGATTGTCTTGAACGCCGACTGAAACAAGTGCCTATGCGTATCGACGAACCCAGGAGAAATAATCTTGCCATTTGCAGGAATGACTTCTGTGTCAGAGGGGACTCGGTGGTCTGATCCTGCTGGAAAGACGGCTGAGATTCTATCACCTTCGATGAGGACTGAGTGATTCCTCAAGACCTGCACGGCTCGTGCTTGCTCGCTGAAAATGACTATGGTGCCGCCGTCGAACAGAACGTGAGACGACGAGCCGAAGCTAGTCAAGGCAAACAATACGGTCAAAAGGACCGTGTAAGTGGGACAAATCATAGCGAAGCGTGCCATAAGACAAGTCAATCGTTAAACATACAAGTGACAGCGAGCAGAGCACACGAGGCGGCTTCTGTCATGCTTCGTCTTTCCCATCGGCCTAGGGTTATGTACACTTTATACTTTGTGTGTGGTGTATTCCCATTTCTCTACTATCCCTTCAACTCTCCTTGGAGAGAAACGAAAAGGTGGAGGCAAAATACAACCGGAAATTGTAATCTCCTATTTCCATAGCGTCATAACCCTGCCAGATTCTAGCGTATAGCTACATAGTGCCATATGGAACTGCCAAGTCGATGACGTTCCGTGGTCCCAAAGTAAATCAATGATACCTTGAATGGTTATGACCTTGTTCGTATTTGTTCCTGAAATATAGATTACTACACCTGCGCGATGCGACAGCGAGGTGTTTTGTAATCCTAATCCATGTCTTGCTCCGGCTTACAAATTCCAACCTCCGTTCGTCGTCGGACTTAATGAAGGCCGCTTGGTTGATGTGGCCGAACAAAGCAGCCAAAAAGAAAGCAAACGAAAACAAGGGCGACAAAAAGAACATACAACGCCAGGGATTCGCTGGTCGTCACCGACCCAACTACTAGTCTGGCGCTTCGTAGCTTATGTATAGGGGAGCGGACGGGACCCTCAGTTGTCTACGAGCTATGGTCGTATGTGCCAGAACCTTATCTGTGTCTGCCTTATAAAGAGTCCGCCAATACAGCCAGCACTAAGATTGCTCGTTTTGTGCTTCACCTTTAGGAAAGGTTCAACGGCGCTGTCAACGACACTGATTTACACAACAACAGGACACTGGAGCCGCAAGAGAATGCCTTGGGGTGTTTAGTAGGCACAAGAGTGACTGAGAGGAGGCGGAGGCTTTGGGTTTATGCGATGCAGTCCAGTGTTATAAATGGGTGACAAGCATGAGAGCATAAGACCCGCCATGAATGCTTGGCTACACCTGATCCCAAGTCTTCCGTCGAGTGCGTCACTTAGAGGATGGGTCGGCTAATGAAGTTTCTCCCTTGGGCTGCTCTTGAACCTGGCTGGAGAATAATGGAGAAAACAAAGATCCGGGATATATTCATCAACAGGTCTTTCTACTTTGGTCTTGTAATTAGCCGCCATTTTTCTCAGGGCTGAGAGATCAGAGTCAATATCTATTGCATAGGTATCAAGTAGTAACATAGATTTGTTATATAGCGCCTACGTATGGGAAGAGGAGACGAACGCCGCCAGTCTCTATCCCAAGGTTAAACACTTTGTTAGTCAAGTGACTCAAGTCTACCTTGGTGGCCCGCGCTGTTGAAACACGTTATAGCCTTTTACGCCGCCTCAAGCGCGACTCCATCGCGCCTTATTGGCGTCCCCGACGCTTTGCAACGCCAGGGAAAGTTAACAGCCACAAGGTGTGGCGGAGGAGAAGACTTCGGTCTACCTCCGAGTCCAAGGTGCTAGAGAGCCCACCAATCCGCAGACACACGACCGACGCTTTGCCGGTTTCAACGTTGCTCATACGACGAGGATGGCATAGCGCGATTTACCATGGCGCTCGGGAAGACTTCGGTCGTCTCATGAAGCACCGCCTCCACTGATGCTGCGCCGCTTGAAAGTGTACAAATTCATCTCCACCAATATGGTGTCATAAGAGCGTGGGCAGAACGCCATGGCTGATTTGCGCTGGGGAGAGTTTTCTAACAATCGAGGATCCGCACCTGATAAAGGCGAGGTAGCCCTGGCTAATTCCGACAGGCCCCAGAGCATTATACACTACTGTACACCTCGATTCTCTCAATCTTCATACGATGGCTGGCCGCAACTCCAGCTGAGCCAGACGAAAATGGAGGTCGTCGGCGTAATCGCTAGCTGCACAGCCATCGCCAACGTCGTCGCTAAGGCCTATGAGTTTGGTGACAAGATGCGTGACGCACAGGGCCTTTGGGAAGAATATATCACGTCCTTGAAGATGCTTGAGAAGGTGAGGCTGAGTGTGCACCCGCTCTAGTTTGTTGAAGCTCTCCCTGGCCCGCTTCGAAATCTTCCCGAGGATAAGCTCAAGTGTCTCAATGTCAAGGAAGAGCTTGGGCAATATAAGTCCCTTGTCGATGTCTGTGCCAAGATGATGGAAGACATTGCCGAAGAAGTTATGGACTTCCTGAAGAAATACGCTTTGGACAAAAGCAAGGTAGAGCGCATGTCGCAGTGGTTTAAAAGGCAATTCAAGGGATATTTATTTGTCTACAACAAGGAAGACATTCGCCGTCGCATTGAAAACGTGCACCGCGTCGTGGATATTTTCCAACTGGCTGTGACGATGGCCGCTATCGCATTAAATAGCTTTGAGTGAGTTGTGCCTGATTTTCTCCCCCTCATGAACGTGCTGACGATTTGGGCAGTCAATCAACAACCGAGCAGATGCTCCGGGATCTCAGTGGTAAAGTATGCGGCCAGCTCGCAGACTTTAAAGCCCTGAGAAAACAGATTCGGAGCCGCCTTCGAAAAGAGCGTGTGCGAGTTCGGGCGGCCGAAGCCCCTGGGTCAACTGTCGATGAACAGCGGCAGAGAGAACGACGCGGGGAACGACAGGGGCAACGATGACAGAGTTTGAGCCAGCCTAGTGGCCGAGGACTGAGAAGCCGAGATTCTGTGGCACAAGTTGAAGGCTGGCTTGCCGATCAAGCATCTACACCCATTGAGGCAACACATTCGGAGGAAGCTCGGGGAACTACACGGGGTTGTGACGCCCCAGATGAGACTCACCAGGTCGTAGATCAAGGTCTCGCTATGGGTGAGCAGCCTGACTCTAGCACTGCCGAGCTCCCTGCTGAAATTCAAACGCGGGAGGATCTGGTCTCAATTGACGGCTCTGAAGGGTGAGACACCGTCGAGGTTGAATTCCCCAACGGCCAAGTAGCAGTATTCACTGCTAACGCCGCCTTCGTGGATACCTACGGTTCCGGCGCCTCGGGGAGCGATGACGGCGCAGGATCATCCGAGCGAGTCTCGTTGGCGGTGCTCCAGGCAGCGCAGATATGCCGCTTACAGATGCCCAAGAGCTTGTCAACTACATAGTGGAGACCGATAATGCTTCTGAACTTTCCTCATCGGCTTCTGAGACCTTGGGCGCGTCGTCGACGCCATCGATTCCCATTCTCCCCGAAGTCGACGTACTGGTCCCACGGAACACAGCGTATAGAGAGGTGGATGACGTTTTAGGTTTCTGCATTCAACGCATCTTGTTGGACAGTAACACTCAGACCTTCATCCTCCACAGGGTTTTTGTCAAGACCAGCCATGCGACCACGCTGTTTTATTGATGCTGGGCACTGCAGAGCGCATCGAACGGCCACCCTTATGCCTCCCGTTGACTGTTTCCCAAGCAGACCCTGATTGCAAGGGCGGCATACGTACTCCTAGGCGCCGATGTAGCTTGAAGCCTCTCCCACGATGCGCTGGTCAATGTGGACATACCGTTCTCGATGTTGCTAGTTCGGGCAATACCGAATGCCTGCGTCGAAGTGTGTTTGGAGAGGAAACGATTCCAGATGATGCACTTGGAGCTAGCCCCAGGGCGGCTAGTAGGACCACGGTATCCATGCATTCTGAGTCTGCGCACAGCGGGCAGGATGCCGAAAGCGAATATTCTCGTCGACGAGGCTCAGTAATTCCCGAGAGTGCCGGATCCAGCAGATCAGATGATTGATGCGATGAGCAAGCGATGGGCGAAACTGACGAAGGAGGCGAGACAAGTGGAGAAGACGAGGAAAGCGAAGAAGATGAGGCAAGTGAAGCCGGTAGAGCAGAGAGGGAGGATGAAGCCAGCGAGACGACGAGTGAAGACGCAAGTACGGGTGAAGAGCAGGATGAGAGTGAAGTAGATCATCAAAGAGAAGCGAACACCGACGAAGCAGACGAAGGGGGCAGGGCGGCCGGGTGCGGACCGTTTACCGCCCTTCCTTGTCTTCGTTGTTACAAGGACTGCCAAAATCCAACACCCCATTCGCCACACGTCTTAGAACTCGCACTCAAAACACTCGTATACGGGCACGTCTACACACAATCCTACGAGTACCGATGTGGGAGATGCGGCTACAAGAATTGGGCGGTAGTGTCCCCGTAAACTTAGAGCTATAGCTATTTCCAAGCCCAGCGCTCGCCATTAGATTTGCGATAAATACCACCTGAAAAGGTGGAAATCGAAGGCCCGACCTCCCGTTAAAGCTCGTGCAATCTTCTACGAAGTGGCGGCATTTATTAACCCAACTGAATATTGCCCCATTAAAGTGTTCTCACACTTGCCCACGGAATAGTGCGTGGCACTCTAGTCATTGCAAAGATGGTCCGTGGAAGATAGTGTTCACGACATCGGCGGACGGGACCATTGAGTCGTTAGAAATCGATACCATTTGACCTTTTTGGGCCGTGAGTCGGTTGCGGCTTGGGCTTGGGTCGGCCTGCCCGGCCCGGTGTCCATTCTGCCGGTATCTCGGCGTAAGCCGGCAGAGGGTCATGTACTGTTTGATTTTGATTGAAAGTGAGAGGCTACCGTTGAGCTACATCATTTTACCACCAGGGCCTTCGCAGCAGGGGCAGCGGCTTGTAGGACAAAGCAATGCAGCGAGAATGAGGCCAGGGCAGAGAAGCGCTTCTTACCATTGCCGCCCATCCACCCCACCCAACACCTCCCGTCTCCTACGCAGAAGCCATTACTCCAAGCGAGAGTTGGCCTTAGTTTGACTGCCACTTCGACCTTTGGCATGCCCAAGGACCACCATGAGTATCTGATATACATTTGTGATTCTTCATTCGGGTATCCAGTTTCCACCCAGGCATTTCTTCTATACAATTCCCAACTTGATGAGATGACTCTTATGCGCAAACGTCTAATACAACCCATCGTCCTCAGCGAACATCCTCGCTCAAGCCTCCTCCATGACCAAATCCGGATCAATCGCCGTCCCCAAATCCCTATCCTCCAAAAACTGCCTCCCCACCAACTGATCCGGCACATACTGCTGCCTCACCCTCCCATCCTTATAATTCGGCGGGTACTTATACTCCCCGCCGTACCCCAGATCCTGCATCAACCTCGTCGGCGCATTCCTCAAATGCAACGGCACCGGCAACGCCGCGACCCCGGGCTCCTTGAGCGCTGAAAGGGCATTATTCAATCCGCGGTACGCCCTCGTCGACTTGGGGGCCAGGCACAGCGCCACGGTGCAGTGCGCCAGAGGGATACGCGCCTCGGGCATGCCGATTTGCTGCGTCGCCGTGTAGGTCGCCGTCGCCAGCGACAGCATCGAGTTGTCGGCTAGGCCGACGTCTTCGGAGGCCACGACTACGAGGCGTCGCGCGATGAAGAGCGGGTCTTCACCGGATTGGAGCATCCGTGCGAGGTAGTAAAGGGCGGCGTCGGGGTCGTTGCCTCGGATGGATTTGTGGAAGGCGGAGATGGTGTCGTAGTGTTGGTCGCCTGCCCTATCGTAGACGAGCGTTTTCGTGAGAGATGCCTTGATACCCTCCTTTGTGATGTTTTCCCCCTTTTGCCGCGTTAGTGACAGAGCCATCTCGAGGAGGTTGAGAGCCGTCCGCGCGTCGCCGTCACTGAAGGCCGCCAGGTAATTCAACATCTCGTCGTCCAGCAGCGGCGAAACTCGTCTCGCCTCGCTCTCATCTTCCTCCTCGGCCTTGAGAGCCCTCCTTAGGATGGCATTGATGTGCTCCGTCGTCAACTTCTCCAACGTAAACGTCCTACACCGCGAAAGTAAGGCTCCCACCACCCTAAAGGATGGGTTCTCCGTCGTGGCCCCAATAAGTATGACCGTCCCCGCCTCGACCGGCTTAAGAAACACGTCTTGCTGCGCCTTCGTAAACCTATGGATCTCATCGCAGAAAATAATCGTCTTGCGCCCCGTCAAGCCCAACTCATTCGCCGCATCCTGAAACAGCTTCTTCACCTCCGCCACACCCGTGCTCGTCGCATGTATCTCGATAAACCGCGACCCTACCATCCGCGCTATACACCTCGCAATCGTCGTCTTGCCCGTCCCCGAAGCTCCCCAGAGTATCATGGACGGCAACCGATCCGTCTCGATGAGCGACCGCAGCACGCCGTTGGGCCCCACAAGTTCCTGCCCGAACACGTCGTCGAGGGTATCAGGCCTCATGCGCTCCGCCAGCGGCGCCGCGCGGTTCGTCTTGGACTTTTTGGCCGCCGTGGGGGTGTTCGCGGGCGAGATGGTTAGGGCGCCGACGCGGCCTTGCGTTTCGGCTAGCGGCGAGCTGTTGCTCCCGGGGCCATCTTCGAAGCTTCGTTTTTGGCCTGCTAGCTTGGGGGGTTCTTTGGGCGTTTGGCTGCTCGGATTGGGGCGCGAGGGGGTCGCGGAGCGTTTTGCTGAGGGTGTTTGGAAGAAGGCGGCTGCGGCGGGTCGTTTTTGCGAGGAGGTAGAGGAGGATGTGGTGCCGTTCGTACGGGCAGCAGTGCCGTTTAGGGGGGCATTTCCGGAGGAGGAGGAGGAGGATTGGTTGCCGTTTGGTTGGGAGGTGTTGGTGTCGGCGATGAAGTCTTTGCAGAGGGAGTCGAGGTGCTTGTTGATATTGGAGTCTTTGACGGGCTTGTTGCAAGCCGGACAATCGATGATCATTTTTAGTCTTTTTGGGGGGGATCTTCTTCTTTCCCTTTCTTCAGGAGGTGGTTGCTCACGGTTGTAGGAGTGGAATTGATAGCATTGAGGTTTGTGGGGAAGCTTCCGTGTGCACCAAAAAAAGGTAATGGAGATAGAGATATGCTCGATCAAAGCTGAAAATAAATTTGATGGTCTCTCCTTGTTGGGCTCTTTTTTTTAGAAGGGGAACACGGGTGGTTTCTAGAAACTTGACGCGTGCCGTGGATGAATCATTGAAACTTTTGGTGGCACTGGGGTGGCGCCTTGTGGCAGGTGGTGGCGGCTGGCTTCCAGAGCTGGCTTCCTGAGCTGGCTTCCTGAGCCGGAGAAAAGTGTCGTCATCGCCACCACTTTGAGCCTTCCCTCAGCGCTCTCCGAATTCGAGATGAGCCCAAAAGTCAGAGATGGGGAATTGGATGATATTTATGGGAATCGGATCAATTACCTCTCTAGAGTAGGAATATCCCATTCACAGTGACATATTACGAGAACCTAGTTAAGTAAACTACCCGAGGTCCAGAATCTCGCATCTGCTACGAAACAGGACGAACGCCAAATGCCGCCAGCCAGGAGTTGCTACGCCATGCTCCCAAGGCACAATGCATGCTCGTAGGCCATATGCCTACAGCGTCCTTCTTATCGATGAATTAATTGTGAAGAGTTGGTCAATTGACGATATCTACCGGCCCATACCGGGCAACCCTCGATTTCTACCCCAAACGCCTCATGATGCGATTCCTGCGCCAAGAATGATGAATAAAGATACATAGAGGGCTCCCTAGAGCCGAATCTCAGGAAGAAGAAAAAAAACAAAAGCAAGGAAATTTCGATATTTGCAATCCATATTTTTGATAGCCACCGAAACGATGTGGGCATGAACCGATCAAATTCGTGTCTGCCTGGAGGGGAATAGTCTCTGGGACCTCATCTTGCCAGGTGAGCGTATTGCTTCGCCCAAAGGACATGTCTCTTCATGAATTGAGTGAATTCAACACTCATACCATGAAAGACTCACCACAGCCGCAAGATTGTTCTGTCAAAAAAAAGTTAGTATGAACTCTTCCTTAACACCAAGCAACGAAAAAGAAAGGGAGGGTGACAAAGAGATCGAAAACTCACTGATATTCGGGTTCCGAAACACAAACTTCTGACTCAACATATCCTCCTGCCAATGCATCTCACTCCCAATAACACTCATCAAAGCCCGATTATCAATAACCAGCTTGACCCCATCCTGTTCCACCACCTCGTCCAACGCCCCCGGCTTGTCGACATACTCGAGATCGTACGCGAGCCCGCTGCACCCCTTTTGCTTGACACCGACCTTGATGAGCTTCGGTTCGGGCAGGTCGAGAAGCCGGCGCAGCTCGCGGACGGCGTCGGGCGAGAGCGTCATAGCGGCTTTGCGGGGCCGTAGCGCGCGGAAGGAGCGGCGCGCTGGTTTGGGCTTTTGTTCTTGCGTGGATGTGGTGGTGGTGGCTGCGGAGGTTTGCTTCGGCGTTGGGACCTCGGTGGCGGCAGAGGCTTCTTCACGTTCCTGGGGAGCTGGGGAGGGTGGCATCGGTGGCCCGAGGGGATAGGCTCGAGGAAGCGCCTTGGCAGCGGCTGCAGTGGCGGCAGAAGTGACGCTGGGTGTGGTGGCCTCGGCGGCGCTGCTGTACCAGGCTGCGGGGAAATCGTAGGGCGGCGGCGCGGAGGAGGGCGTTGCTGTCCTCGATTCCATGATCCATCGTCTGCCGGCTTGGGCGGGGAGCCGGAGGAGACGCGTGGAATGCACCACCGTCCGTGTTACGGTCTGTCGTGCGAACATTGTTGTGTTGTGTCTGGTTTTGGTTGTGTTTGGAAGAGATATGAGAGAGGGAAAAAAAAATGTGGTGGGTGGTGGGTCGGCTTGGATCGGAAATATGTTGTTGGAAAAACGACGCTCAAAATGTTGTGTGGGCGAGGGGAAAAATCGGAGATGCTATCGATGGAGACGAGGTTGTTGGCGCATTGCCGAGACTGCGCGAGAGGTCTGTTATTTTCCGGGTATTCGAGAAGTTGCGGCTTGGCTTTCGTGGAACTTGTAGGAAGAAAGAGGGTTTATTTGTAAAGGTGGTGATGCAGAACGGGACAATGGAGTCTTGGGGATGCTTTTTGTTGGATGAGAAATCGAACCAGAAAAGTAGAGCTCGGCTCCGAGCTGCAACGAACAAATACAACTGGACAGAAGCAAGAAAAGGGCGAAAATGGTAGGGATCAGCGACCATTAAGAAGTACCACAGTACCGGACATTCTGGATACAGTGTGACTGATTTGTCTCCCAAGCGACCAATGGGCACGCAGCTATTTGTCACGTCGGACCTTGTTCTGCCCTTGCCTGCCCTTGCCACTTGCCCACCAGGGTTCCACAGTTCCACAGTTTGCTGAGCTTTCTTCCGCGGAAGACGATGGAGTCCTTGGAAATGACTGAACCAAACGCCGCCTGACTAAAAGAATCAGACCGCGATAAGATTAGACTTGGGGGAGACTCCCCAATAGCAGCGTCGCCAAATGCAATACACTTCCGAGGACTCGGACCCGTCAGGGTACTCGACTGACTCCATCGTCCGGGCATTATTGATGCAGGCAGATCGAATATCGAATTAGAACGCTGCTTATTGCACTAAAACCTGGATTCGAGCCTCCAAGGTACCCTTCGTACCGTTCGTCCCATTCCAACGGGCTCTCCCTTGCCAGTGAAGATGCCCCTGTGACGTAAGAGGGGGGCCAAAAGGGTCCTTCCTTCCTCCAGGTCAATACACAAAGATTGCGTGAAGCTTCGTCAAAATGTTTCTTCCCCATCAAGCAGCTCCGAGGAGAGCAAATTCTCACGCCTAAAACAGATGCTCATTTTCATTACATCAAACACAACCCTACAACAACCCTGCCGCACCGCTACACATCTACCTCTACAGACAACCTCACATCCCCCACCGCCTCCCTCGCCATCTTCTTCAACAGCGTCCTCTCATCCGCCTCCCTAAACCTCTCCCACCTATCCAGCCCTTCCGTCGCCTGAATGCTCAGCGTCTCATACCCCTGCTTAATCACCTCCGCCACCTGCAAGCTCGTCAACTGCTGCCTGCCCTTCTTAGCCCCTCCTCCCCCTCCATCCGCGAGCATCTGCTTATAGTGCGTGCTCACGCTAACAAGCGTATCAATCGAATTACTATTCCGACTCCCTAGCCCGAAATTATCCCTAAACTTAACCAGCACATCCCCCGTCTCGACCACTTTGTAAAACAAATCATCGTACGCCGCCGGCGTCGGCAGGAACGATTCTCCAGCCGACAGCGCCAACGCGAGCACGTTGACCACGTGATCGAGCAACGTGCCGACGTTGGGCAGGTCCTTGACGTCGGCCGTGTACGTCGTCAAGAAGCGGATCAGCGACAGCAGCGACCGGAAGAGCTCAGCCCAGTGGTAGGCAAGCCGCGTCTTCGTGCGCGACATGTACGAGAGGATGCGCAGCGTTATGCCCACGCAGAGCGTGTAGAGCCCGACGTCGAGCCGCCGCCGGAGGTTGTGGTTGATGCCGTCCATCATGGTGTCGAGGAGCGCTGCTGCTAGCGGACGCTCGCCTTTTACGAGGGGGAGGTGCGGTTGGCGCTGGCGGCAGAGCCGGACCGTCGTTTTGCTGTCGTCGCTGCATATGCGCCGGCATATGCTGGCGTCTTCGATGAGGAGTCGGAACACCATTAGGCTCAGGTGGGAGTAGTGCGTCGTTCGCGATGAGAGGTAGGCATGATGGAGGAGGTAGGATGTGAGAGAGAGGTAGCTGGCGAAAGGTTGCTCGCCATCCTTTTCTGGAGGGAGCGTTATGAGGTTTATGCAGAAGAGCTTGTTGACGTGCGTGAAATCATACGTCGCGAGCAATATCGCTGCCTCTACGCCTGGTCTGAAGCGAAGCGAGTTAGCAGGGGAAGACGTCTCCCTTCCGATCTGTAGAGATATCGGGACGACGGGGTAAGACTCACAGCTCCGTAAACATCCTCTTCACGGTTTCAGCGTCATACACCTTTTTCCTTTCCGGCTTCTTCCCAGGAGCGATAGCCCCCAACCCAATCATCGTAAGTGTACTACTGAGCGACCACGCCTCAGGAATATCATCCTGGACGTCGACATACTGGCCCCTCAGCTTCTGGCACGTAGCGCCGACACACCGTATGATCTTTTGTATCGTCGCCTCGTTGACGAAGTCGCTGAGGCGGAGTTGGTAGGGGTTCTGGAACTCGAACTTGTTGTAGTTGGCGAGGAGGCCGAGGAGGGTGAAGGGTTGAACGATGGATTGCGCTGAGTCGCAGTCTTGGATGAACTGGTGGGGGTAACATTTCTGTTAGCCTCCGGAACGAAAAGAAAGACGACAAATGCCGAGGTGTGGTTGTACCTTCATTATGGAGGGGAAAAGATCCCGTTGGATGAGATAGGTCAACAAGGTAGTCTGGTGAGCCCCAGCCGTAAACGCAAGCAGAACCTCGACCGCCTTCTGCCGTAGCTCGACTATGACCATCAGCAAGAAAACTCAACTTCGCGACAACTTAAGGCCCAGCCATGAACGTACAAGGTTTCCTCCCCGAGCGGGCTATGCCGTCCATGGCGCCCACAAACTCCGTCAACACCGCGTCGACATTATCAATCCCCGCCAGCAGAGCAATGATGGCCGAGCTCGGGTGCGCGTACTTTTTCGACAGCACGCAGGACAGGAATACGCTCAGAGTCTATATGCGCAGTGTAAGAGATTGTTATTCTTTTTTATTACTATCGGGGATTCGAAGAGTAAAGGGGGATAGAAGGAGCAAGAACGGACCTCGAGGGCATGGATATCGGAGTCGTTCCTCCCATCTTTAGCCACGGCCACGGCTGTCGAAAAGAGGGATCGTGTCTGGGTTTCGAGGTGGAGGAGGTCGGTCGGGTTTAGGGCGTCGAGAATGCGCTTGAGGGAAGGGCGGTCGGGGCGTAGGAGGAAGAATTCGCGCCAAAAGCCTTCAGATTTCTCGCCGTCGTCTTCATCGTCCTAGATATGGCGAGTGCATTAGCTGGTCTAAGTCCTTTAAACTGTTGAGAGCTCAAGGTAGTATGCAAGGGCGGGTGCAACTGTGCGATAGGGAATCAAGTTGGTGGCAATCCAACGCAAGGCTAGATATTGTCGATTCAAGACCAGCAAGGACATTTTCACCTTAAAGAGCGACTCGTAAAGATGCACCACCTTTGGCTGGAAGACCTCGGGCGGGAGCTGCCTCGTCAGGGGCGACGGCTCCATATTTCTCCCCTCCCCCCTTTCTTTTTCTTTACTTTCCAAAAGAAAAAACCTGTAAAAGATTCTGGTGCGCCGTGGAATGGAGAAAGATATTCTTCCTCTCTTACGTCTTGATCAGCTTGTCGGGGCCAGTGCCGTGGAGGAGGGAAAAAGAAAAAGGAGCGACGTGGTCGGAAGGCCTGGTCGTTCGTCGCTCTTGCGTTATCGCAATCGATAATTTTGGGAAGCGTGACGATTTGAGCATCGAGTAATGTTACTTGTCCTGAGGTACCTTGACCAGGCTAATTCTGGTGAATTTCGCCAATCCAGGTTCCTGAGATTGACAAGGTACAGTACGTACTGTAATAATGTTAGCGAACAACAGAGGGAAGAACAAGGCTTGTGTCTTCGACGCTTCTGCACACGCGACCACGTCAACGAGAAGAAGCCTTTCTTGGCAAGACTCGACAGTTTCGACAATACTCTATTGTTTCAACATCATGGGCCAAGGAATTCGACGAGGATAAGCTTTTTTTTTTTTTTTTTTTTTTTTTTTTTTTTCTTCAATGCCGCGACAAACAACGCAAAACCATCGATGCCCTGTCTTGCTCCAGACCTGGTCCTTGACAGAGATCTTCGAAACGTGCTCGAGCTGTCCGAAAATCCAAAGCAATAAGAAGCGGAACAAAATGTAAAACATGGCCCTTGTGATCTGCGGCTGATCCCGTTTCCCCAAAGAACCGGGGGCCGATGTCAATAGGAACAACCGAATTATCACATCAAACATTCCCGTCCGTCAGTCTCGAGCATCACAGTTATAAGCTTCTAGGCCTCGAGTCGCAAATCGAGTATATGTATGGTGAATCTACTCTAAAAAGCAATATTACCAAGGAATATATATCTAAGGCGCTATGGCTGTATCAGACCCATCTATGAGGCAGAAGCAAGAAAAAAGAAAAGAAGTAGAAAATGAGAAACGCCTATTGACCCAACTTGTCTGGAATCATGTCCAGAGAATGAGACCCGAGAAAAGAAAAGAAAAGTATGCATGTCACCAGAGCGAGCCCATACAGTGAGCCGCATGACAAGAAAATAAACCGCCCATATATCCCGTTTCCAATGAAAACCCAAGACAAATGAAAAAACTCTAGTCAGAGCGCCCGATATCTATGAGAAAAAGACAGCACGCTATGCTGTAACAAGAAACGAAACAGTTCCGCCAAAAAAAAAAAAAAAAGTCCCCCCAAACGATTAAAAAAAAAAAAAAAAAAAACAGAGTAAAACAGAAGCGGGAAAATGTTGGGCAAGAGAAGACAAGACACCAGTCTCAAACTCAAGCTGTAAGAAAAAGCCACAGCCAGGTGAAACAAGGTATCAAGCCCAGATAACCCACACCCTTGAGGTTGGTTTGTTAGCAGCCAGCCGGTCTTTCAAGCCAACTGCCCCACGCCCCAAACCCCCGGTGATACCTCATCCAAATCATCCAATCCCCTCGCCCAACCAAGCACATAAGCCTTCAGGGCCTTCCACCGTGCACACCTCCTCTCCTCAGGCACCTTGTCAACTGCATTGTCCCAGACCAAGCCCCTCGCGAGAGCAGCCTCATCGTTGCACCGCATATCGTCAATGGAAAGCTGCGAGGCAGCCGTGCAAAGCTCCTCATCAAAGGCGCGGGCCGACGCGGGGTAGCCGAGGGTGAGGTAGTTGTAGACCTGGGTGATGAAGGCGTCGTCGAACTCGGTGGCGATGCGGGCTTCTTTTTCTTCGGGGGTGAGCTTGCTCTTGTTGTTGCAGCGGAGGGGTTGAGGGCGGCTTGATGGGCAGGTTCCAAGAGATTGGAAGGGGCTGAGACCTAAGCCTTGCGGAGGGCTGGTGCTCGGGGTTGGTGGTGCGCGGTGGTTGGCGGCCGACAAGTTGGTGAAGCTTCCCCAGAGACCGCCCGTTACGGGCGTCGGTGGCGGAGAGAGCGCGGGCGGTTCCTGCTCGGGAGTGCGACGTTGCCGGCTGACGATGGAAAGATACGACGATGAGTCGGGGGTAAATTCACTAACACCAGTAGCAGCAGCGGCAGCAACATTTCCGGTGTCCCTGCGCGCCGTCGAGCTGGAATTGTTGTAGCAGTATCCGCCCCAAAGTCCGCATTTCTGCGTCGGATCACGGCGCTGCTCCTCCAATGCTCGAAGCGTATAGGGCAAATCGGTCGAGAGCTTGCAAACCTCGGGCGACGCGCACCGGGGGAAGACGATGTCATCTCCTAGCAGAGGCGGAGACGCCGCCCTCCGCATCACGTCGAACTCCATGTCGAATCCCTCCTCATCGTCCGAGTCGTTGACGACGCAGACGATCTTCTTTTTCTTCATCATCATCTTCCGCTTCTGCGGGGAAGGGCGTACAGGTACGGGCGCCAACAGGTGGGGTTGGGAAACATCATCAGCATGGTCGGGTGGGGGAGATGGGCGGGGGTCTACGTTCGCAGCAGAGTCCCGGGCCTCATCTTCCTCGTCGTCGCTCAGCACCTTATCCCTAAACCAATCACTCTCGGGCTCGGACTCGACGTCCCTCATGCCATCCAACTCGGCCCCCTCAACGTTGTTATAGTTGTTATCGTTGTAACGGTACCGCTGGGTCTGGCGCCACTCGCGGACTTTCTGCTCGGCATGCTCCTGCATAACCTTGTGCCACCACCCCAAATCCGTTGACCTCCTCCTCAACCTCTCCGCACCGCCGTTCCGCACTCTCCGCCGCGCATACGACGATCCTGGCCCTGCTGCTCCTCCGACCTGACGAGGGGCAGCAAGCAGAGGGGACCTCGATTCCTCGGCCGTAGTCTCCCCATCGTCGCTATCGCGAAAGTACGCTTGACCGGAGGTCACGCGAGCGTTCGGAAACGCAGCAGCATCGTGGAGTTGACGCTCGGCACGGCGGGCGGCTAGTTCGAGGAGGAGGAAGTCATCTTCGGATTCGTGGTCGTCGAGGGCAAGGTTCTGCGGACGAGGACGGCGGTGGTAGTTGGGGCCGGGCACGGCGCGGCGCTTGGATTTTCCGGAGCTAGAGGAGTGTTTGTGGTGGCGCGTGTAGGGGGTGACGACGTCCGAGGGCTTCACGCGACGGGAGGTGTTATCGGTGAGTTGGGGACCGTAGCGTCGGTGGGGGCGGAGAGGGAGGGTGTCGACAGGGGAGCCGGAGCGCGGGGAGGCATCGGGGGTGAGCTCAGGCATGGGGACGAAGGTGGACTTGGTCGCCATTGGTGTTAATGGTGGGTTTTGTCGTGGGTGGTGTTGGTGAATGGTATTAGTCGTGGTCGTGGAGGTGAAGGAGCTCCGAGTCGTTTACGTCGAGATTCGAGGGCTAAATGGAGGGCTCCGACCGTTTCGGGGGCGGTTAAAGCGTCGAAAGCGGGACGCGGGGGAGGGCATGGACAATTCTCGAGGCGATCGAGAACCGATTGGAGCCATAGAACTGTAGGGCTGGTAAGGTGAGGAGTGTTTCGATACCGCTGGGGAGGGCGTCACAGTGGTAGCTTGGGAGTGAGGGCGACGATATGGATATGGATATGGATATGGATATGAATATGAGTATGGATATGGATATGGATACGAGTTTAGAGCTATATTGGATTCTCGCCCTGCTGGAAGCAGAGTGAGCATGGAAATCGAAGGATCTAGTCTCTAGGAGGTGAAGAAGAGGCGAGAGTATGCGTGAGAGAAGAGACGAAGGATCAAAGCAGATCTCGGTTTGGAAAGAGATTGAATACGGGAAAGCAAGGCGAAGCCGGAGGAGAGTAAAAGAGTAAGCGCGATATTAGCAAAAGGGGTCGTTCGTTCGGGCTGAGGTACAAGAAACACCCAAGTATTAATACCAACTTGGCTCTAGCACAGGAACCAGGCGAGCCATAAATACGACTTGGAAATTGAAGCATTGAGCTTTTTCGTTGCTGCGCACTCGCAGGGGCACGAGGGGATACAAGAGATACAAGAGAAGCAAGTAGGAGCGCTAGTGACGCCAAGTATTTCCAAGGTAGTTTCATGGCGGCCTAGTATGACCTAGTTATGCGGCAGGTGGGGACTCGGTACCCGAAGTCTACATGGATTGGCTGGGATGATGGGACTTTCCCTCTTTTTTCTTTTTCGGTCCTCGTCCAGCTTCGGTTCTTCCTTCTAGTGTGGGAAAATGGAAAATGACATTTGATGTATACTTGTACCTGCACAGTGTTGGTGGGAGAAAGGAAAGCACAGCCAGCCTCCAGACCTGACAAGGTGTGTTGAGAGAGGAAATGGACCACACAATTGATCGAATACGTCGTACGTCAGCCGAACCTGCGACGAGATCAGCCCAAGAACCACTCGACATATGATGCTTCGTACGAAGGAAAAGCGGGCAACTCGATGACCCCCAACCGGCATGCCAAGAGGAGCCAAGGCGACGAGAGAATGCAGGCAGAACCCACTTCCAGGATGTTGCGGGTGGCTTGGGCGCTGGGACGTAAGATGGTCTTCTTCGCTCTTATTTTCTCAGGCGGCAGCCAATACGAGAATAGGGATTAAATCCAGTGAGCCCAGAGCAGCCCAGGCAGGCAATTAGGAGCTTATGAAGTGGGATTGCCGGAATGGCGCACTGTGGGGGTACTTGAGCTGGATCCCGTTTTATTTGCCCTTTTGGGTAGGTTGGACCCGAGCCGAATGGTTCGAATGGTCTGTTCGTTTGTGTCTGGTTCTGCCTGTCTTGTCTGGGCCGTCTTTTATGTCTCGTCTTGAGATCTTGCCCGGAATATATTCGTGTTTGGCATCTGGTGCAAAATGGCACCATGCGTGAAGTATCTGTGTTTGAATCGGAGTTTGCTGGCATTTCAGCTATCTTATCCCACGGCGGGCATCTCTTCTATCTTGTATAAGACGATAGAGGCCGATTACGCACAACTAGCCAGGTCTGACGAAGCCATTCGATCATCGATCAATGACCTTTGAGGAGCGCTAATTCAAGCTCAGTGGGTCTCGTCAGGTCCAGGCGAGGCCAGCAACAGCACA